GATGTAGGTTGAGTCAATAGATTTTTTCCCCATTTTTTTTACTTTTTATATCTATGCCGGCAGAGAAGAGAGTGGGGGGAGAAACCCAGCAATAACAAGGAACAGTATTTAGGGATATAGTGACCTTTTAATTGCATGGAAAAGTCTCGGTTCTATATAAACATTCCATTAGAGTTACAGAAACCCAAAATATGCAGCACTATATTAGAAGTCAGACAGTAAAACTTACAGGTCTATTGTACACGCCCAAATTGATTTAACTGAAGAGGTGAAATAGCAGCACTAAATATAGTAGCTATTTAAAATCTTTTCATTTAAAAACTGAATTTGTTTTTGGTAGCATAAATAAAGACACTGTTTAACAATGGGTTTTAACAAGGTGTTGTCTTAGGTTCTTCATTTCTCATTGCCAAAGTTACCTTAGTGGTCATGAAGGAGTTCAGTTCAGGTTGAGGAATTCTATTCACCAGTTCCGCACCTTCCAGCAGTGCGGAGTCTGACCTGACACAGCACTGTGACCTGACCAGCGACACATACCAGTCCTTCAAAGAAAGAAAAACCTGAAATTGTGAAACTGTTCACTTGCAGACAATGAAAAATAGTTTGATTTTGTCATATCTATCAACTGCTGTTCTCAAAGATGGTCTATCTGCCAATCCAGAACTACTACGTTAGCCATGCTAGATTACATCTGTAATAAACATTAAAAAGCTATTAGTTCTTCTTAGGAATAGCTACATACAACAAGAATGTCCAACTGGTGGTTCAGAGGTCATGCAAGTCCTACAAGCGGTGAACTTATGGCCTGCAGACCTGGGCATCACTCGCCACATTGCTCCTCCTGCTGCTAGGGCTGGATCTTCAGGCATCCACTCCCTCCTCCAGCTGCTTCTTTCTGCTGCTGCCCCTGCCGGTGAGAAGCCACAGTCCTTGGAGCCCAGGGGAACACGCAGAAGAGAAGTCCAGGAGGCCAACAGCTCACAAGAGTCCCCAGATGTACAGAAGTTAAGCAGCCATGATTTACAAGACAAACCTGAGCTATTCTCTATTATTTATCCATTTGCCAATGTAGAACTGCTAGAAAACTGAAAAGGAGGAACCAAAGATAGGGTTAAGAAATACTCCTTGCACACTGGGACCATACTCTTCAATGGAATACCCTGGAGTACCTTTCTTATATGTATTACAGTGGCACCACAAGAAACAAAAGGAATGAAAAGACTTAAAAAAGAGCCCAGAATGAAATCTAGAAGGAAAAGAAGTCTACAAAAACTGCTGATCAAAGG